GTGCCCGGGGCGCGCGTGAGCGCGAGCGTGAGCGCGGCGTGGTCCGAATGGATCTTGGCCCGAACCCCCGGCAGCCCGGCTCCCGAGTGCAGCACGGTGATGTCATCAGCACCGAGCAGCCCCCGCGCTCACAGCTTCACAAAGCTCCGTCGCGGGCTCCGGAAACCCGGCCAGGGGAGGGAGCGATAAGACCCTCCCTCTGCACGCCGCCGCCTCCCCCGGCCGCGCCCAGACCGCCCGCATTGTGTGGCTTTGAGATGCAAATCCAGTGCGGGCAGGGGGGGGAGGGGCAGGGAGGTCTCCGCGGTGCTGACCGAGGGGACAGTGGGGGTCTGCTCAGCCGGCGGCTCCAGGAGCAGGAGACGGGGCTCTCCCGCCCCGTGTCGCGGGGACAGAGTGTCCTCTCCCCTGTCTACTTCTGCCTCCTTCAGGCCGCGCACCAAACCCTGGAGCAGGCCCAGACCTGTACCGGGGAGATCCCCGGACCGCGTGCCCCCAGGCGCCCGCAAGGCCCGAAGCACACAATGGCCAGGGGATGGGACTGGCCGGAGAAAGAGCAGCTCGGCAATGCTGTCTGCAGCCCCCCGCTGAGTCTTCCAGAAACCCTGGGCAGGGTCTGGGCACGCTCCACACCGAGGCCAGGCAGACTGGGCAGCCACTGTCAGGTTCCCCGGTCACCCCCAGGGTGTACAGGGAAAGGCAGCTTGTGGGACATGCCATCAGGAGCCAGCTCTGGATTCCAAACACTGGCAGGGCTGCAGGAATATGCACCCCCAACTCCCACCCGGGGGGTCCCACCTGCATGCTGGCTCCCGGAAGGGCACCAAGCCCGATAGTTGGGTCCACCACCGGACCTCTGGCTGGCCAGAAAGCCTCAAGGCTCCCCGCCTCTCACTCATTTCATCTCCTTACAGGTTCAAGAGGTGTGAGGGTGCCCCTGGGGCCCAAACCACCCTCTCCTGCTCCCCAGACACTGCAGCCACAGAGTAAGCGCCAAACTCGTCTGAATTCAAGTATGAAACAAGGCCTGATGGGAAAGTGGAAGAACGCAGCTACGTTTTCCAGCACTTTACCCTGCAATGCAGGAGGCCTAAAAGGCATCTCAAGTGTAGACAAAAGGCAAATCTTGAAATCAAAACAAAACGGCTCAAAATATTTTGACACGCCCTCCCATGTACAGCGTCTTTCCTGAAGCCGTAGCCCAGGGTGTGGGGCCGGGTGCAGGCGGGGCCGGG